ATTCGTCGTTAAACGGTGCGCTCGTTAAGCGAGGCACCACTGTACTGTGTGAAATTTCTTGATATTGTTCCCAAAGCTCCAGTGACTATGGGGAAGTGTGTTTCATCCACAAGCAAGATGTTTTGATTGCCAGGCCTCTGTACTTTGTTAGTTTTTCCAATTCTTTATTTTTGACTCTGGCACCCCCTGGAATTGCAATATCAATGATCCATTTCTTTGTTCTATTACTACTATGTCTGGTGTGTTATGTTCAAGATGTCTATCAGTTTGGATCCAGAAATCCCACAAGATCTTGACTTCCTCATTTTCTGAAACCTTCTCTACTTGATGTTCCTATGTGGTTTTAGAGGAAGGCAAGTTATATTTTCTGCATAATGACCAATTTTGCCACTCTGTCATGTCTAATTTTGTAATCTGTTTGTGCAATCTTTGGACATTCACAGATGAGGTGTGACACAGTGTCATATTTTTCTTGGCAAATTCAACATTTGCTGTTAGCACTAATTCCTTGGAACCTAGCTTTCATCACGTTGATTTGGAGTGCTTGTTATTGTGCAGCAAAAATCAAGCCTTTGGCTTGTTTCTTAAGGGTCACCAGTTTTGGCTATGCTCATGCGTTCCATCAATATTTCTCAGGTGTTGTCCATGTAGTGGTTTTTCCCCCAGCTGTTTAATTTATTTTCAAATTGTTGCTTCTTATATTGAGCCTTTGCTTCTGTTGTTTTCAACAGAAGTCTTCATTTTCATCACCTTCATTAATTTTTCTGTATTTCTACTTACATAATCATTTAGGCTTCTTTTTTCCTCCTCTACTACCTGCTATATTCGCAGTAATCCATGGCCTCAAATTTTTGAGGTAAATATATTCAGTCCACATCACTTTTTGGATGTAGTGCATGATGAATTTTCATTAGTTCCCATGTTTTTTGTTCCAATTCTTCTAATTTATTTTGGATTCAATTTATTATTCCAGCTGGATATCTAATTACTGGAATTGTCCATGTGTTTATGGCTTTGGTACCATTTAATTTTGATTTTACGTTTTTCTACAGTCTTTTGATATATTCCCCTTAAGAGAGGGTATGCTAGAGTTTCGAACATCTACCTAAAATTTATCCCATGGTAACAAGACTTTTTGATCTTTGTTACCAACTATTACATGTAGCTTTTCTCAGCAAGAATGGCAACAATGTTGCCTTTTATTGCTAATAGAATAAACCAGAACAATTGTTCTTGCCTGTCCATTCTCCACCCACCATGCTTTGTGTTTCCCGAGTCACTGCATTGCATAAAAGCCTTCATTTTCTGCTCATAGAAAAAAAGATAATTTATTTTAATCATACTTGCAACCTTCAATTGCACAAACCATCAGTGGAATGAAAGGAGTATGGCATCCCTATTACTCTGGTTTAATGTTGAGTACCAAAGATAGAATTAATGAATGGGTCCCAGCATGTCTAGTGGTCATTATGGATGAAACCTAGCAATGTGTGTCTAGTGATGACCTCTGTCGGAATAGGCTTCTGCTCTTGAGGAGCTCCCTGCACCTTTGCTACCTTTACTAGTGACAGGTCAGGGATATGCAGTGGACTACACAGGCCTGGTGTGCTCTGGTCCATGGGGGTCACAAAGAGTTGGACACGACTTAACAACTAAACAACAACAACACAGGCTGAGGAGAAGAGGGCAGGGAAGATCTGTTTCAGAAGACTGGATGTAACCCTCTTAGTAAGCCACACAGAAATGGCAGCTTGCAGAATATGGATAATAATATAACAATATTTTCACAATCACGTGGCAAGTAAAGCTCATTGAACACGGTCAGTTATGAGTGAAATCATTAATATTTCTCAGTGTCTTTTAAATTGCTTTTGCTCCTTGTCTGAATTCCAGAAACTTCCTGAAGACTTCGCCAATGGAAGCTTCTTTAGATGTACAATAAAATATGGAGTATGTGTGCATTTTTGTGTGGGAATACAAACTTCCCCTCATAATCAATGTATACACACTACAAATGAAACCTCTGAAATAGGAAACATACATGAAAACTATGAATGGGAGGGATTCCAGTTTAATTCTGGGTGGTTGAGAATAACAGCTTGTGGATAGCCAACCCTTTTAAAAGCTTTAAAATAGTAATGAAAGGTATATACAGTATACTATGTTGGCTGGTATTTGGTATTTGCTCATAGATGTCTTTTTCCAATGTCTTTGATAAGATGCTGACCACAAGGAGTGGGCTGAGTAAAAAGAACAAAGAAGGAAATGTTCTTGTCCCGTTTGTGGTAGGACATGACTCTGCTGATTTGTCTGTTACCCACAGGTACTGTATGAGTGCTAAAATCACTGTAACTGTCCAAGTTCCTTTTTCAAAGCATAAGCTACCGATGGGGAAATCCCCTGATCACGCTAGAAAGAGGCTTCCTTCTCTGAAAGGATGAGAGGAACAGCTTGTGGACAGCCAACTTTTTTAAAAGCTTCAAAAATACAGTAATGAAAGGTATAGACAGTATAATACAGTATGTTAGCTGGTATTTGATATTTGCTCATAGGCTCAATGCCTTTCTACAATGTTTTCGATAAGATGCTGACCACAAGGACTGGGCTGAGTAAGAAGGAACAAAGAACAAAGTGTTCTTGTCCATTTCGTGATAGGGTGTGACTCATTCTGCTTGTCTCTCACTCACCTGTACTGTGTGTGCACTAGAATCACCCGTAATTGTGTAAGTTCCTCTTCTCAAGCATAAGCTGCTGATGGGGAAATCCCCAAATCATGCTATAAAGAGGCTTCCCTCTCTGATCTTCATCCCATCTGAGGAAGCAGAGAAGATGAAGCTCATCAGTGCAGCCAAGCTGCTGTTTCTTCTGCAAAGCACAGTTGCCAGTGAAAGCACGGTAAATGGGGTAAGACTATGTGCTGTTTCATTTCTAAAGATATTGTATTATTAACACCACATGCTGGGACTGTATTTCTTCTGCTATGAACAACCTAATGCAGGACAGGTTTAGTTAGATTGCAGTACTCAAAAGTGCCTATTCCAAATGAAGTACATTATGAAAGGTTCATGGGAAAACATTCTCTGAAGGAAGGTTAGAATGCTTACTTTTACAAAAGCTTTTGACAAAGTGGCCCATGATATCCTGATTAGCAAGTTAACTAGGTGTGGGTTAGATACATCAAGTGTCAGGTGGACACACAATTGGCTACAGAATCGTACTCAGGCTGATGATTAATGGGTTCTTCTCTAACTGCGAGGAGGTAACAAGTGGGGTACCCCAAGGCTCAGTCCTGGGCCCAGTGCTCTTCAATATTTGTTTTAATGACTTGGATGACGGAGTGCAGAGAATGCTTGTCAAATTTGCAGATGATACAAAATTGGGCGGAATAGCTAATTCCTTAGAAGACATAAAGAGAATTCAAAATGGCCTTGATAAAATGGAGCACTGGACCAAAAAACAAGAGAATGAAATTCAACAGGGATAAGTGCAAAGTCCTGTGCCTCGGAAAAAGAAACCAATTGCACAGTTACAAGATGGGGGATACCTGGGTCAACAAAACTACAAGGGAGAAGGAGCTTGGAATTGTAATAGATTACAAGCTAACTATGAGCCAACAGTGTGATGTGGCAAATGCTATTTTAGGCTGCATTAATAGGAGTATAGTTTCCAAATTCCACGAGGTCCTAGTCCTCTTCTATTTGGCACTGGTTAGGCCTCACCTTGAGCACTGTGTCCAGTTCTGGACACCACACTTCAAGAAGGATACTAACACATTTGAACAAGTTCAGAGGAGGGCAACAAGGATGATCAGGGGGCTGGAAACCAAGCCTTATGAGGAAAGGCTGAAAGAATTGGGCATGTTTAACCTTGAGAAAAGAAGACTGAGGGGTGATATGATAGGACTTTTCAAATATTTGAAAGGCTGTCATACAGAGGAGGGGCAGGATTTATTTTCAATCATCCCAGAGTGCAGTTCACACAACAATAGGCTCAAGTTCAAGGAAGCCAGATTTCAGTTGAACATCAGAAAAAACTTCCTAACTGTTAGAGCAGTACGACAGTGGAAGCAGTTACCTCGGGAGTTGGTGAGTGCTCCAACACTGGAGGCATTCAAGAAATACTTGGATAAGCACCTGGCAGATATGCTTTGATTGTAGGTGGATGCATTGAGCAGGTGTTTGGACTTGATGGCCTTGTAGGCCCCTTCCAACTTCACTTTTCTATGATTGTATGATTCTATGCAGGTTGGAGCTCATCAGGATCAAGGAGCTGTGTCAGATTGTTCTGAAAAGAATCTAGATGCTCATCAGGAGCAAGGAGCTGTGTCAGATTGTTCTGAAAAGCACTTCATTTACTTTGCCTAATATAAGCTAGAAGTCTGTATTAGTTTTACAGTGGTGCCTCGCTTAACGATGTTAATTCGTTCCAGTGAAATCACTGTAGAGCGAAAACGTTGTAAAACAAAATTTAAAAGCCCATTGAAATGCACTGAAAACCCCTCAATGCGTTCCAATGGGCTGTCCAGTGAAGATCCTGTAAAGCGAGGAATCCGTCCAAAAACACAGCGGGGAGCCATTTTAAGCAGCCGGTGGCCACTTTAAAACCCTACGATCAGCTGTTTTTGATCACCGTAAAGCGAAAATTGGTTCTTGAAGCAGGGAACCAATCATCGTTAAAAGCGATCGCAAAAACCTAATTGTCGAGTGATTTCGTTGTAGAGCGAGGCAATCGTTAAGCGAGGTACCACTGTATAAGAAAATGTAAAACTTGCATATATACATTTCTTCTGTCTCAAACACTGAGCAATCTCAACCTTTACAGCTGAGCCTGTGCATGTGTCTGTACATGTGTGCATGCATGCACATGATGTACATGCACATATGAGCCCTTCTCCATATGTGCACACAACCATGTGTGCCAAAGTATGCAGTGTTTTTCTGTGTGCAGGAGGGTTACTGCAGTCCACATCTATGTCTGCCCATGCCCTCCCACTGAATGAAGAGCATTTAGCTTGCCATTAGTAAAGACCTATTTTTTAACAATGAGAACATGCGTGTTCCTCTTCTAGGTTACAGCTTCTCAACCAGCTGACATAACTCACAGATATCTAGAGGCAAGCAGTCACTTAGAGGTAAATATTTTGATGTTCATTTCTTTACATTAATTGTACAATTAATACTGTTTTTTAACATGTTTGTGGTTGAATGTTGTGAATCAACTATGCAACAGTAACAGCAACATTAACCAGATCTTAAAAATAAACAGGTAGTACCATAGCCTCAATTGTAAACAAGTAGGCCATTATGCAGTGTGTTTGATCAGACATTTCTCTTTTACAAGTTGATTATATGTTTCTTCAGTGGAGTGACTCATAAAGTGATGCACGTCCAGTGTAACTGTACATCTCAAAATAGCATTGATACAGTGTTGGCAGAAGTCTATTATTCACCTAATTTTACAGTGATGGGAGAATGTTTTAAAGGCTAATCTACACAAGGGCAGACTCGCAGGTCCTGAGCACATCTGGCATTTAGGAAGGTAAAAAGTGCCTTTTAGCGATACATCTGCTCAGTTTAATATTCCAACCAGTCCAAAAACTGGAAAAGCTTATAATTTTCAGAATACTTATGTAATTGCCAGTCTCTGCTCTTTATCTCAAGGATGTAGTATTTAAAGATATACTGTCTCTTTATACTGAGGCTCTATTATGGCTAAAATGAATGTATCATCTTTTAATCCATCTAATCTTATTTTTAGATTCATTCAAGTGATAATCACCACTTGCATAACTTGATAAAAGTTACTTTTAGGGATTATAGTTTCTAGTAATTAAAAACTATCTATGCTCTAATCTTGTACCATGGATTTCTGTAAATTTGTTTGTGTGTGTGTGTGTGTGTGTATGTGTGCACCATCAAGTCTGAACTGACTTATAGTGACCCTAACAGACCTTTGAAGGTAAGTGACATATCTGAGGAGTGGTTTTACCGGTTCTACTTGCCCCCTCAGTGAGTTTCCATGGGCAACAAGGGATTCAAACCTAGGTCTCCTGAGTTATGCCATTACATCACACTGTGTATTCTATAAGTGAATGGTGTGTTAGTTGCAGAAGTACTTCCTTTTGATCGTCACAAAGCTACTGCCAAATACTCCAGCACTTATCAGGCAGAATCTGGCTTCTGTATCCATTACACACTTCACCAGGAAGTCCCTGAAACCTTGAACAGGTTTGGACAATTTGGAGAGTATTTCATGTTGGTGTGCCAAACTGTCTGATTTGCAGCTCCTCCTGGGACAGAAATAGCCTGTTGGTGTACCAACTATTTATGACCTAACCACTTTGACTAATACATAGTCAAGGCCATGATAGATTCTTTTGTCCCCACTCTGTGCTGTCTCCACATCAAATCTCATCTGCTGGGAGGCTTCTACTTTTTGTTCTTGTAGGATTAATTGTGCAACAATTATAGTAGTGTCTTGTGTGCATGGCTTTACCAATACCTTTTTTTGGGAAAACCACGTTGTGTTGCTTCTGCCAGTGATGTCATTTGTCTGCATGTCCCTTTGATTTTTAAAAATTTTTTAGCAAGTGGAGTGTTAGTGCATTGGAAAACTTGTGTCACCAGCCTCTATGCTTCACTTATTTGTAGCTCTTTCCACCAGGTGGTGGTCGTTCCCCTGAGCCCTTGCATATTTTCCTCTTGGGGAACCTCATGGTACAGCTGTAATGAAAACAAAGCCCAGCTATGAGTTTCTCTGCTGCAAGAGGCACAAATGCAGCAGAGAAACTTGTATCCATCAAAGAAATGTTGCCAAAACATCAATGTTAATGAAGTTTTTAAAAGGAAAAAAGGGGCCTCAGAGACATAAACAAGTCAGAGGGAAATATTCCGGTACCAAAGTGTAGCCAGTCATATCACATCAACTGTAGGGAAATGTTGTAGCAGTTCAAAAACACATCAGAGTGCACACCCTGGGAAGGACTGTGCCGTTTGACAGCAATGTGTAACGGCTCAGGGAGTAAAAAACTCAAAAAAACAGGGAGACATTTTGCTGGTGTGACCACGCCCTTAAAAAAGTAAGGAACTGATGTGACTTCAAAGCCTTCTTCTGGCTCCTTCTGAATACAGCAGTATGCTTTGCAAAGGATTTATCTGCTCTTTGTACTGCTCTGCTTTGCTGTTGCCACTGCTCTACGTGCTTTCTCACCTCACTACAGGGTTTCCAGAAGTCCGAGAGTCTTCCTGCTATTTTTTTAATCCCAAAATTTCAGTTCATTTTGGCTGGGAATCAGCTGTCTCTGTTGCTCACAAAAATTGGGGGATGTGAGAGTGGAGGAAGAAATCTTTTGTTCCTAGACAGTAAACAAGTTTATTCCATTATAGTTCCTGATATTTTGTCATAGTCAAGTTGACCAAGAAGCAGAATTTGAGATAGGGCTTTAGAGATAAGAACTGGCTCGAGACTTAATGGCTGTGTTTAAATAGCCCCCACAGCACACACCCTTACTTTTCTCCAAGCATTGTGTTTTGATTTCTGTGGGGGTAAGGTGCAGGTTGTTTTCCATAAGCTTGCAGTGGTGGACTCTGATATACTTCACTCTTGACACTAAGCGATTCAAAGACCACAGACTGAATTCCTGCATTAACCACCATTATGTGAAAAGTTGCCATAGGGGAGCCAGAGCAGAACTGTTGAGAAATAAAATATACTCCATTTTTTTCACATTAGACCTCCGGAATGGCATCTCTGCATACCTAAATGCCACTAGTTTGCAGGGCTCCCCAGATCCATCTCTTCCTCTCATCTAGACCTCATCTCTAAAGATCAGCTTCGATTCTTTCTTTCCAAAGACATATATTGCATTCTTTTTAGCTGGGAAAAGGTGAGGGAGAACTTTGATACATTCTGGAAAGTAATAGTTCAAAAAGTAAATGGCATAAGTTCTCCCTCTCTGTGACCCAAAACAGTCTATTTATGATTAGCTCCCAATGAGCCAAAAAAGAAGATAAATTCATGCCTCTAGAAGCAAAAAGAACTAACATAAGGCTATCAGAATTTGAGCAGATTATAAGAAGACTAGATGCACTAGAAAATGCAATCATGATGGGGAAAGTTAATGACAACAGGTAAAGGGGAAGATCAATATGAGATGGATTGACCTGGTAAAGAAAGCCTTAACCTTGAGTTTGCACTACTTGATCACAGCTATTAATGATAGGACCTTTCAGAAGCAACCTGATGGTATATAACAACAAAACCCACCAAGTGACATTATTTGAATATTCTCAGTTAAAAACATGGGTTTATGACGGCCAAGACTCTGCCAAGGTATAGCCTTATGGCAAAAGCATAGGGATGGTCCTGCTCACACAAATCTGATCATAGAAGTCCTAAGAATATTCCTGGCTTTCCAGGTCTGCCTTACATGGGGTTATTTTTGATGAGGAGTGTGAAGTAACAGCAGGAAAAGACAGAAAGAAAAATGCATGGGCAAAGGATAGAAGTGCTAGACCAGAAATATCTACTCCCTGTTTTGAAGTCACCTTCTGTGCTCTAGGCGAGGAAGCAATATGTTTCCAACTTCCAGCTCCCCTCAAATCATAGGCCAGCTTTGGGAATGGGATAAAAGCACACATAAAAATTGAATTCCCCTGAACCTGTGCTGGGAGTGAGGATCTGCTTTCCTAACAACTTTGCAGAGGCTAGAGGCCATGTCGAGTATGAATGAACAGTGACATGGGCCAAGTTTGGCTCTTTTTCACAAAAGAACAACAACAACAAAATAAGAGCAACTGTAACAATTACAGAATTATAAATTAGAAGGCACTTTGGAGGAATGCCCCCCTTCATTTTGAACTGAAACAAGATATAAAAGAAACAGAGCCCTAAATGGATTGTTGCGTTAACAATGACTAACAGAAACGTGTTTCACAAAACACAAGATGATAATAGTAATATTGGGGGCACATAATATAGCAAAACAATTGAGCCAGAAATCTGGAGTGGAATAAAAGTGATGTGGCATCCTGAGTGCACCCTGGCAAGGACTAAAAACTTTTTTAAAAAGGAGGACTTTTAAAAGAATAAGCAGAAGGAAATCAGAGCTGAAGAAACTGCTGGGAAATTGAAAAGATGGGTGATAAGGAAGGGTTGCCGGGGAAACTGCTGTGAAGAGCAGGAGTGGTGGATGTCAGAGGCAGGGAAAGTAACAGTGATGGAGTCAGTTCCTGGATTTGCCTAGTATCTGTGGGCAGGTCACAGACTTAGGGTCAAAGTCTGACAATTTAGACAATTTAAAAAGATATCAAATTTTATTTATTTATTTATTTATTTATTTATTTAACTTATATGCCACCCACATACCCAAGACGGCTTTCAACTATTAAAAGGTAATATTTAAAAGCTAAAGAACAGTGAATATACAATATTTAAAAAAGAATTAAACAAGTATTATATTTAAAAAGGTCAATAAAATTGATATTAAAAACATTTAAAAACAACAGAGCACAAAAACCCATTCAAAACAATCCATTGTAAGCTAACCTTTGGCTCTTTAAGTTAGTAGACTTAGGAACATGACTGATGGCTGATTGGGAAGCATATCCAATTGATATGAATGTAATTGTGTTGCAACTATTGGGTCAAGTGCACTCTTAGTTAGACAGATGGTCATATAAGAGGAAAAAGTGTGGTTGACTAAATAATAGAGTCATAGAATAGTGAAGTTGGAAGGGGCCTATAAGGCCATCAAATCCAACCCCCTGCTTGATGGTGAGGGGTTTTTTTTTAGTACTGACGAACACATATGTTACTTGGGAAGATCCACAAATTGCAGTAGCCCAGATTTCATTATAATCTTTCATTATGGGGAATAGATTTTATCAAGGACTGTTAATGTACTTATCCATTTAGAGAATGTTCTTCCTGTCATTTTTTAAATTGGCTCAGCTCAGATAAAGTTAATATTCCAATGTAGGTTCAAATCAGAAATTGGTCACAAGGTGACAACATCTAGACTAAATGTTCTCTGAAGATTTTGTGAATAATTTTATACCGTTTATGGTCCTTTTCTCTTGGTGGATTTCAAAAAAGAGAAATGCCTCCTTCCAAATAAGTAACCAAAAATCTTCAAAATTCCAATCTCTTTGCAGCCATTTGCCAATGTGACCGGATCTTTGGATGACCATGGAGTATGCCAGTGCTCTGTCTACCTGCCAGATAACACATTTCCTGTGCAGAGGATGGAAAGGCTTGAAATCTTAGCTCAAGAGCTCTCAGTGAAATTCGACAGTGAGCTTTCCAAAGTAAGTGGTTTTTGTTCCTTGAAAGACAATAAATTGGTAATACACAACTCTGGAATAAACAAATGCTCATTACCAAAGTCAGCAAGAGACTAAATACTACAACCAAAATGGGCATGTTTATGGTATGCTGGTATGCTAGATAACATTTTACTAGATTATGCTGCATTACTTTGCATTATCTTCTGTCCTTTTCTAGGAAAACTAGCAACTTTGGGCAAGATTAAAAACATTACTCAAATCAGCTTGATTAAGCGTCTTGATTGTGAAGAGGTTCCAAATGATAGTCTCCCTTCCTGGACCCTTCCTTAGTGCACCAGCTGAATGCACAGCCACCTTCTCTTTTTCTTTGCTCTCTCCATGTGAGCCTTGCAGCAGTCATTTTCCTGTCCTTTCTTCAGGATCAGACCCGGGGGCAGGGCAGGGGCCTCATCTTGAGGCCCTGCAGGCTGGATGGGCAGACCTGGATAATCACATTTGGATTATACACCAGTCCCTCCCTACCCCATTTTTCCTCACAAATCTGTGAGGGCCAGTCTTCATCAGGAGGACTACAAGTTAAAGCTATTTTGGGACTAGTGTATTAGGATAATAACAGAAAATGGGGTTGGAGGGAGAATCACATTTACACCTTCTGTTCTCTGAGCAGTATGATGCATGATTCCCAGCGCATCAGTGGAAGGAGGGACTGGTAAACCCTCCTGAGTACTTTGTAGCTAGAAAATCTCAGCAGAGTGAGTATATGTTGGAATCTACCTTACGGCACATATTATAATTATTATGAACTGCACAGGCACCAGTGTTTTACCTGGTGTTCCAATTTCATTTGGCAGCGCCATAACTAGCTATTTGGGCACCTGGGGCAAGCAGTGTAAATCATGACCCCAAATCAGTTTTGTAATTCAAGATGCAAAAATAATGCAGAAAGTAGCTACAGTACTGAGCATACTGGGCAAAATCCTATTGGTGTAGTTATGCTGGGTGTACACCAGATATGAGTGTTGGGAAAAAAAAGTAATGCAAATAAATTGAAAGCTTCCTACCTCACCCTTTCAGGTTGTGACGCTCCTGAGGGCTGCCTGGATAAGTCTTTCAGATAATTGAGATGGAAGGGAGCCTTTTAATGGTCAAAACTTGCTGCCAGATTGCTACTCATGGTCCTGGTTCCAGCAGTGATTGTTGATTATTAAAGGTCACCTCCCCAAGTTTCCCAATGGCTTCCCCAAGGCAAAAGAGAGGCCTAGGTAGTCTTTGAACCTGAAAGGAATCCTTCACTGCCCCTCCAAAAATATTTTAAGAGTGGAGAAAATCAACAGTTCTCTGTAGCATGTGAAGCTGTTATGACAACAGAAATGTTTTCACAATGCCACGGTGCATCCTAATTACAGCAAAGCTTCTTAGCCTTATGCTGTTTTGGTTGTTTGCTACAGGAATTGGGTTCCCATGCAAAATTCAGCAGAAGGAAAATACCCATAAATAAGCATCAACTACTATAATCTTCAAGAGCTGAAAAGACTCTTGCACAGCCAAGAGCCAGCATTTGACATTGGTTGCTTGATGAAAAATATGCAAGGTTTCAATTACGTGTCCAGGAGAAATTTTTTGACTCCACCAGGAACCAGACATAGTAACAAATGAAGTGCCCTTGAATTAATCAGGAGGAAAGACAGAGCACTAAATTATAAATTCTATCTATAAATATTCATAAACTTTTTCACAGTATAATCAAGAAGAGATAAGAAGTTTACACATAACAGCCCTCTCCCCAACTACAGAGAGGTAGTGGAGGAGGAAAGAGACAGTCTGCTGGAAACACTCATTTTTGTTCAAAGTGTTTTCTTTGAAGTAACTGGAACTATGAAATGCAGAGGAACTCCTTACGTTTAGACATTTTGTTTCAGCAGGGGTAAGGACTATCCCCACACTGCATCTTCCCTCAAATGTCTAAAATTGCCCTACTTGAAAGTTTCATGGATCTGCTTCTCATACCTCTAGCCAATGTCTTGGACTGCATAGAATAGCACACACCACTATGATTCTGGGTTCACAGGGGCATTTTGTTGGCTGTGTGAAGGCACAGAAAATACAAGAGCAGTGAGGTGAGATTAGCTTTAGCAGGTCGTTTTTCTGACTGAGCGCCTGTCCATATCGGCATATAGATCAATATATGGACTGCTGTTAGTATAGTTTGGTCTGAACTAGAGATTGGCACAAAGCTAAAAATGAACCAGGAGATATATCAAAAATCGCTAATTAATTGGTTCAGATTGGTTCGGGTTCATCCAAACTGGAGAACCTGAACTTTTCAAACTGATGAATTTTGGGATGATTTACTTTCCTCCTGATTTGTTGCCCCTCACTGCTTGTCCATGCCCCCTTCCCACTGCCCCTGTTGCCTCCCTACCTTTTGCTGCCACTGCCTGCTCTTCCTTGGCTGCCACTGCCATCTTATGAGCTTCACCACATGCCAGGGACCATTTGGACATGTCCCCACTTTTCATTTGGTAAGTGGGGACATGTGCAGATGGTGGCTGGCTAACTAAAATAAATAAATAATATTATTTAGCTGAACCGTCAGCCAGAAAGGGGAAATCTGTGCATGCCTCCACTTACCAGATGGGAGAAGACACACACAGATGGGCTCCAGCCAGCTGATGGGCTGGCTAACCTTTTTAAAAATTATTTATTTATCTTAGTTAGGCGGTCCATCAGTTGGTCCAGGACCATCTATGCATGTCTCCACTTTGAGACATGCATAGATGGTCCTCTCCCAGTTGAGAGGTGAGGACATGAGCAGAGACCAGCTGGCCTGCCAGAAGGGCTGCAGCAGCTGCACTGGAGGAGGATGCAGAAGCAGGAAAAGGTAGGAAGGCAACCGGAGCACTGAGAGGCAGGCTTTGGGGGCGGGGAGGGAACAAGCCAAGTTGTTGGGGGTTTTAGACAGCCAAATTTCCTGAATGAACCAACAACTAAATTCATGGTTTGTGAAATTAAAACAAAGAATGGAGAAACCACCTCTTCTATTTTCATCCTCTTCTTTTTAATATTTCCATAATGGAGGCATCAAAATTCTAATACATACTAGGCTGATGCGTTGCTCTTTCAATACGCCACTTTACTCAATCGGCTGAATGAGAAAAGGCAGTAAAGGGGGCTGTGTCAACTCCATGGGCTATGTCCACAGAGACCAGCTGGCCTGCCAGAAGGCAGAAAAGGCAGTAAAAGGGGCTGTGTCAACTCCATGGGCTATGTCCCCACAAGGCAGTGTTGCCCCAGCAGAACTCCATCTAAGGAGAAGGCAGGAAAAAGTGGATGTTACCTCACTTATGTCTCTCCAATCTTCAACCCAACATTTCCCCCTCGCACCAGTATTGCCGTTGTGAGCTTATCTTGCCACTGCTGCCTTCTTACTTGTGAGTAAGCTGGGTAACACATGCTCACAAGTAGACTGAGTAAAACATACTCAGCTATAAGCCAGGTGAACCTTACTTGCAAACAAACTGGGGACACTCACATGGATGAATTGTGTGGACTTTTCCTGGAGGAGAATAAACATATCCAGTGTGAATAGAACAATTGTTCAAGTGGGGGACAGAACAGATTGCACTGAAGATAAGAACCTTTGAAGCATGAACCAGACAGCTCCAAATTCCCCTCTCTGAACAGGCCCTATCTGTCTGCAAAACAATTGTTGCTGAAGGAAGTAGGCCCAGATATCACGTTTCCCCTTGGCATATTGTCTGTGGAGAGGAAGGGAATAAAGTTTTCCTTTGTCTTCCTCATGTCTTCCTATTTTAGGGACAGGAAGAATATTTAACAAAATTATACTCACATCAGGCTACCTGAATCAGAAAAGAATCGATCTACATTCAGAATCATTTTCTGCGAGCTTGTACCTATCAAATAATCATCTTTAGCAATTGAGCTACACAAGTGACTGTGGAAAAGGTTATCTTCTCCATTGGTGGCTCTTGGACAATACATGGTTTCCAGTGATTACTCTACTGAGAACAATCCATGTTGTTCTCCTTTCATCCAGCTTTTGATTAAAGTGATAGATAGCTGAAAATGAAAACCAAAACGGTCTTAACCCCAGCCTTTGCCGCACTGCAGTGTGTCTGGGCAGCTCATCCTAGGATGGCAGCAAACCACCAAACTAGATTCAGAGTAATACATTCTCCAACACGATCTTGACAGATCTGGTCAAATAACAGAAAACAAAGCTTCACTACAGGGGTGTTAAAGATGCTGGCTTAGTTATGACAATGGTTTATAGAGGAAATATAAGAGATTTGTCAGGCTTGTCTTTTATATTCTAGGGTTGAGGTCATTTGGTAGACACATAAAATGAATGCAGCCCCATATGTGATTGTTCCATATAAGCACTTTGTTCAAGCCATTATACATTCTTATTATTTTCAGTATAAAATGAATGATGGCACTTGTAAATGCATTACTGATCTTGAAAATCACTTGTAGACAAAGAAAAGAGAGGTGCCCAACTTTCATTGAAAGTTAGTGTACTTCCAGGGATCTATTTGAAATACTCTTTCATATTATATAGATAGTTGCATTTCCTAATCTCTCATTTGAGGGTTTGCTTTATGCAAATTGTGTCTTTCTTGACATAACAGTCCATTAACACACTTGAGTTTCTGTGGTTTGCTTCTCTAGTTTAAGAGGTTAACTGAAGGTTAAAATCAGTTGAAAAGAATAACAAGAGAATTTGTGTGCATTATGGCTCTTTACTGGGACATTGCACTTACTGATTCCCTGAAGACACTACAGTCAGGAAGCTCAGAGGTGTATAAAGTTACAAAACCCCAAGATGGACGTACTGTATATGTAGCTAACTTGCATCACAATAATTAAAGTATATATTTACAATTTTGAAAAATGGTCATAACTATGAAATATTCTTCATTTTTTAAAAAATCATGGCCACATACCCAGAGTTAATATGCATCCAGAATGGTAGAGCTGACTTCCACAGCCCACTGAAAATTCAATGACTCTCCAAGTTCAGTTTCCAGAGAAAACACTGTAAAGACCCAATATACTTTTACAATTATACTCTTACAAAGCCCAATATACTTTTCAAAAATCCCAGCTACCACAGTCACTAAATGGGCCACTGGTCAAGTACATTCTGCCTTCTTTTCATCTGTAAACCAGGTGCTAGTTCACCCAGTGTGAAAGCAACATACATTTGTAATAGAGAGGTCTCATCCTAGTTTGTAATTCCACAGTTTGCCTTGGGTCTGGAAACCTCAGAGGCTCTGGTTGGGATCCAGGGTAGTGAAGTCACATGGACTGTGTGTGCCAAGTGGTCAAATGGGCCAATCTTTTTTTAAACATGGAAAGAAATATGGGAATGCAACATTGATTTCTAGAGCCCTCAACTCTTTGGCCAGAATCTGGCCCTAACATGAGAAGACAACGTAAAAGTAGTTCTAATATTTTTTTTTCCTCTTCTTGGAAATAATTCTGAGATGCCCTTGGAAGGAAGGAAGGAAGGAAGGAAGGAAGGAAGGAAGGAAGGAAGGAAGGAAGGAAGGAAGGAAGGGCAAATAAAAATGTTACAGATAATCATCCTCTATGTCATTTTGCTGCAGTCTGATTCACTTCTCTGTTGAGCTGCATTTTTAAAAGCACAGAGAAGACTGTAACTTATCAACGATTATACTTTTCATATCCTGCAGACATTTCACTTTATCTATGCCATTTATCTGTAATCTTTGCTATGTATTTTGGTCTAAAAATAAAGACAATGTTAGATAAGCCCCTGTGCTTGTTTATACTCATGTAATCATATTTTGATCTCAGTGAGATTGCAGAGGTGCAATGAGGCAAAACTTATCTTTGAAAAAGCTACCTTAAATATGTTTGCTAAAATGGAATGTCTTTCTTTGTATATTCATAGGTTAGCCAGTATACCAGAGAAATTGAAGTGTACGAGAGAAGAATTCTAAACCTAACCAAGAAGATTGAGTACTTGGAGAAGACCAGTGTTTCTTATACAGAACTGGACTTCCAGATGATAAAATTGGAAATCAGTGAAATGGAGAGACTGGTCATTCAGCTGAAAACGACACTAACTGGGAGCAATGTGATTGTCGAGCAATTATATGAAGAGGTATAGTAAAAGCTTTTGCACTTCTGCACTGTTACTTTAAAATTACTTTAACCTAATCAAAGACACTTTTCTTAACCACTTATCTTTTATTCTTGTCTGTGCTGAACTACATTGAAGGCAAAGTCTGAAAAACATAGCAAGACCAAGCTATTGGATCTATAGAGCAATAAATGGAGGAAATAGTGGGACATACTCTATGTTAACATCCAGGGCAGCAACACTATTACCAATTGGGGCAGTGCTTATATTTGGCTAATTTAAAGATCTGTGAGTGAGTTACTGGCAGGAACCCCATACATGCAACCAGAAAGGCAAATAAATAAATCTATAAATGTATATCCCATTTCATTCAATCTGTTCAGCGCTGTGATACTTCAGAATTTTGTTCATTTTGCACTTCTAGGCAAAGCAACCTGATTTTCTCTCTGCCTAGATTAGTGTATGGATTGGAACAGTTACAGATTGCCAGACTAGATGATGAATAGTTCTCTTTAGGTTTCTGACCATCTCTTTTTTTTCCCATTACAGTTTTAAACTAAAATTATATCAGCAGGAACACAAAATGCCCATTTTACATGAAAAAGCATAGCACTCAAATGCAAAGATATGTGCTTTCCTTCCCAATTCACATATTGCCATGGAAATAATATGGAACAGGTTTATGGATGATTGCATTAAAAACTATCTGACATAGGCCAGCACAATACAGATCCATCCTTCTCTGATCAAGGTCCCTCACATTTTAAGAATATCAAGTAATATAAAATAACAAAGTCATGCAATAAAAGCAGGGGATCCAAGCAACTAAATACTCCTGATAACAGACATCCTTTTGCAAAATCAATAGACATCTCTCTGCACAGCAATAGCGAATATGGCAGATAATGCATTCTCACAGATATAGGATTTCAGAAATTGTTGTGTGCTGTTGGTGCATTGTTAATTAAAAAGAAGAACTTGGCAAATGTGGTGGCAGAACAAACATGGGGGGGGGCTAACCAAAAGTCACTTGTGCTGTTTTATCTAACTAGATTAAGAATTTGAGTCTCATGGTGAATAAGCTGGAATCGCTGGACAAGAATAACATCCTTGCAGTCCGCCGAGAAATGGTGGCTCTGCAGAAGAAATTGCAAGAGTGTGAAGCAAATAGAAACCAGAGTACAAACACCCACCACTTCCTACCTGGTAAGCATTTTATTTACTTGCTAAATGGAAGTATGTATAACAGGACACAGGTGGGGCCAAGCTTATATTCCAATTTTCTTTCCTTAGTCTGCACAGTCAATACGTAGGCCTCACAGTTCTCCTCCACAAAGGTTTTGGTTTTTTTATGCACACACATACAGGCTGAAGTGATGTACTGTACTCTTACCGTCCTCTGCCTGCAGCCTGTCACGCTGCAGTGATCTCCTTACTTTCTTGAAGTGAGTGAGAATACCAGCACAAAGGGTCAGAGTACTGCTAAGGATACTCTAACGGAATATTTTTACTTCTTTAAAAGATTTGTATTCCAACTTCCAACCAAGCCATTGTCTCCAGAGTGGCTTCCAAGAAAAATGAAATCAGCAATATTGTAAGAAATCATAACCACTGAAACTGTGTAAGAGGTGGAAGAATCAACTATGTACATTGTAGCAGATAATCATTACACATGAGTGCTGTCAGAAAGTTTGAGAAAACAAAAACAGTGGCACAGGAAAATGAGAAGCCGTCTGGTACTGAAGTAAACCATTGGTCCATTTCGTCCAGTGCTGTCAGCTCTGACTAGAAATAGGTCCCTGGGTTTTCAGGCAGGAGGATCTTCTAGTCTTATTTCATGATACCAGGTATTGAATCTGGCACCATGCTCTACTAGTGGCATCAGATCTAAGTCAGTGCTAGGGCTGTACTAAAGTGACAATAACCATTCCTCAGTTGTTTATCAGCATAAAACTGTGGTTTCCTTTTTGACATTCACTGGGAGGTGCAAATATGGTGGGCATCAGGGTATCTGAAGGACCATGTCTCTCCATATGAGCCATCACAGACATTGAGATCTTCAGAGGAAGCCCTTTTCTTGGTCCCATTGTGTTCGCGGACATGTTTGCAGGGGACAGAAGAGAAGACTTTCTCTGGGAGTGCTCCAAGGCTGTGGGATGCTCTCACTTTGGAGGCTAGGTTAATCTCTTCCCTTTTATGCTTCCACTGACATTGGAAGACCCACCTCTTAAGGCAGGCTTTTTAATAACCATGAGTGAACCATGATTCAAAAAGTCAGGAAATGGGCCAATATTGCTGCACAATATTGTGCCTGTGTTGCCAGCAGAAAAAAAGGATGCCAAGATTTACATAGCACCGGGCAGCCTAAATGTTGACAACACCAAGATAGTGCAAAGGTCTGCTCACGACCTTTCCCACACTTGTTGAAAAACAGCCCTGACAACTGCTTTGTGTTTGAGTGGGAAGTGGTTAATTAATGAAAAAAGGAGTCCCCTTCTGGGATTTTCCCTTGAGAATGGTAGTGGTGCTAGGAGACTCCTGGTCAACACTTTGACCATTAGCTTGTGGAGTGTCTCAGGGCGCCATGATTCCCCATACTTTCACATATACATGAAAAACATGGAAAAGGCTGTCCAGAGTCTGGTACCAGCAGTGTGCTGATGACACCCGACTCGTTTGCTTTTTAAGCTCTCCCAGGGGCCCTTCTCTCATTTTCTCAGGCCCCAGTGTTGTCAAATATTTTGACTCCAGCTCCCAGAATCCACATCCAGCATAGCCAGTGGTATTATAACTCCAGTACACATGGGGAGCCAAAAGCCTCCCAGTCATTAACTAACTAATAAAGATAGCATTAATCTTTGTGCCAATGACATTATCAGTTTTTTAAAATAACTTTTGAAGTATTTTCACAGGGAGGAGCAAAAAATGTGTTGCCAGGAATGGGTTAACCATGTTCTTAGCATGGCAGGATCAAAAGTTCTATTCATTTTCAGAAATGTTTGGAAACTTAAAAGTGAAAACCAGGGCACTTATGTTTTTCTGGGTTCAAAAGTAAGAACATAAGAAGAGCCTTGCTGGATCAGGCCAAGGGGCTATCTAGTCCAGCTCCCTGTATCTCACAGTGGCCCCACCAGATCACTCTGGGAGCATAGGAGACAACTAGACACCTGTCTCATGAAACCCCTCCCCTGCATCTGCCATTTTGAAGTTAGGCGACAACTAGACACCTGTCTCCTGAAACACCTCCCCTGCATCTGGCATTTTGAAGTACCTTTCTTCTAAGACTGGAGATTGTACATCCCCCATCATGGCTTGTAACCTGCGATGGACTTTTCCTCCAGGAATCTGTTCAATCTCCTTTTGAAGGCATCTAGGCCAGATGCTATCATCACATCCTGTGGCAAGGAATTCCACAGATGAACAACACAAAGAAATATTTTCTTTGGTCTGTAGGAATTCCACAGATTGACAACACAAAGAAATATTTTCTTTGGTCTGTTCTCACTCTCCTAACACTCAGTTGGACTGGATATCCCCTGGTTCTGGTATTGCATGAGAGGGAAAAGAGCTTCCCTCTATTCATTTGATCCATCTCCTGCATAATTTTATATGACTCAATCATGTTGCCCTTCAGGTGCCTTTCTCTAGGCTAAAGTGCCCCAAAAGATTAGCCTTTCCTCATAAGGGAGGTGCCCCAGACCAGTCATCATTTTAGTCACTCTCTTCTGCACCTTTTCCAGTTCCACTATGTCATTTTTTGGGGGGTGCAGAGACCAGAATTGTACAAGGTACTCCAGGTGCAGCCTTACCAGCGTTTTGTACAATGGCATTATAATGTTGTCTGTTTTATTTTCAACCCCCTTTTTAATGATTCCTAACATGGAATTGACCTTCTTCATTGCTGCCACACACTGGGTTGACACTTTCACCAAGCTGTCCACCAGCACACCAAGATCTCTTTTCTGATCCATCACGGACAGCTCAGAACCCATTAAGCTCCAACTAAAGTTTTGATTTTTTTTTGCCTCAATGTGGATTACTTTACATTTTCTTATGCTGAAATGCTTGCATCAATGTGGATTACTTTATATTTTCCTATACCGAAATGCATTTGCCATTTTGCTGCCTATTATCCCAGTTTGGAGAGATCCTTCAGGAGCTCTTCACAATCCCTTCTGGTCTTCACCACCTGGAAAAGTTTTGTGTCTATATCCACCTGACAGTTGTTCTATCTAGTTCTCATCTAGTTAACTTGCCAATCAGAATATCATGGGGCACTTTCTCAAAAGCTTTGCTGTAGTCAAGATACACTCTGTCTACAGCACTCCCACTATCTACAAGGCATTTTACCCTATCAAAAAAGGAGATCAAATCAGACTGGAAGGATTTGTTCTTGATAAATCCATGTAGGCTTCTAGTTAGTACTGCTTGGTTTGTAGGTACTTGCAGAGTTACCACTTCATAATCTGTTCCAGAGTTTTCCCAGGGATTGAAGTCAGGCTGACTGGTCTGTAATTCCCAGGTTCCTCCTTTTTGCCCCATTTGTAGATAGGGACAACATTAGCCCTCCTCCAGGTGTCTGACACCTTCCCCCGTTTCCCATTATTTCAAGCAAATAATGGACAGTGGTTCTGAGAGTTCTTCAGCCAGTTCCTTCAGTTCTCTTGGATGCAGTTCATCTGGCCCTGGAGATTTGAATTCATTCACGGTAATAAGGTATTCCTTGACTATTTGTTTATCACTCTCAAGCTGCAGTCTTGCCCCCTCCACTTGCACCTCACATTTGTCTGCAGGGTCATAGGCTCTGGGAAAAGACTGAGCTAAAATAGGAACTGTCTTCTGCCTTTTCTTCATATTCTGTTATCATTTTTCCATCTCCATTGAATAGCTGAGCTGCTGTTTCTTTTGTTTGTCTTTTACTATGCACACACATGCCTGAAGAATATTTCTTTGTTACTTCTATTGTCTCTAACTAGCATCATCTCATTTTTCCTATATGTGCCCTTTTTTTGTTTCCAGGTCCTCTCTGAGTTTTTTGTGAAGCCACATTGGTCTTCTTTTTTGCTGTCTCCCACCTTTTTTTCTTGTTGGAATTATTTTTAGTTGTGCCTTTGGAATTTCCTTTTTTTAGAAGCTCCTATCCTTCTTGGACTCCCTTTCTTGTTAGGATCCCCTACCATGGGACCTTACTTTGTTCTAAGTTCATTAAAATTGACTTTTAAATAATCCAGCATATATGTGTGGCTACACTCTGCTTTGGTTTCCTTTGAAATCAAGAATTCTAGTAGAACATGGTCACTGTTGCCCAGAGTTCCTATTACTCCATCAAGTTGTCTATATTGGTTAGAATCAAGTAAAGGATAGCTAGTCCTCTGATTTCTTTCTCTGCTTTTTGTAGGAGAAAATTATTAGCCATCCAAGCCAGGAATTTCTAGGAAGGGCCATACTTGGCAAAATTTGCCTCCTGATCTATATCTGGATTAGAGATGGGGATGACTCACCATTTTGGTGAGTCGTCCTACTTCGTGAGACATCAAAAGTTGACGACTCACAAAGCATGAAGTTGCCCCCATGAACCGATGAATAACAAATTTATTCATCAATTCGTGGGGGGGTTGCTAAAGAAAACCACACTCCTGCTGCCACTGCCCCCTGCTGCCACCCCACCCCTACCACGCTGCCCCCATCCTCCCTCCACCCCCACCAACACCCCCTTACTATAATTGTTGCCACCACTGCCAAGTATCAATATGCCTTTTGCAAAATGAAATAATTACTGGTAATTGTCATGACATTTATTGTGTAACAAGGAACATTTTCATATTACATTTTCATTACTTTTATAGACAAAAATACTTTGGAGATATCGTGAGAGGATTTCTCGCAAAACTTTATTTTAATTTATTCATTTTATTTCAGACGTTTTTCTACTGTTTAACTTAGTAACATGCACTATTCTGGGTGGTTAACAATGCATAAACTACCTTAAACTACCCCTATGATGAACGAAAATCCCAAAATACACAGCAATCTGAATCAGAATGATAGATTAAAAGCTGAATTGATAATCCAAAAAGCAAATGATGGCCGTATAAGATCCCGCAGCTACCTCAGGGGGAAGGATATCTTTGAATGCTTCCTCAAAGAGTTCTGTCTTTAGCACTTTCTTGAAGATAGGTAGGGGGCCTGATGAAATTTTATTTTCT